GTCATGATGTGAGTATTTGATTCATGAGAACCAGAGTTGAATAATAAAATAAAAAAAAAGCTGCTTGTTTAAAAAGGGGAAAATTTGTATTTAATTGGCATATTGAGTAAATGAAGAAGTAAATGTGGTGTGCATAAATATTTAATTCCTATTACGATGACTAGAGGATACAAAGTATGTTAAACTAACAAAACCCTATTGTTACATATAAAAATAATGTTTTTAAACCGCATATTATCACAGCGGGGAGACATTTTGTTTGGAAGGAAATGTTGCACAATAAGGAATTGAATAGAAATCCTTGTCACAAACATAAACTACATTTTTATATGACACCAATTGTATCACATTTTATTATTTTTATCGCGCCATGTTTTTATATTTACCGGGTGTCAATTTGAATTGAATTTTTATCTACATACACATACCGAAAATTACTATATCCTCGAGTAATATCATTTCTTTTAATGATGACAGCATTTCTCGACATTTTCGCTTTTTATTTTACCATCGCGTTTCATCATCGTCACATTTTAGCAGACACATCGTAAACGTTTATTCATTCATAAATGTATTATTTATGATGGGAACTAAAAAAATATATATATAAACGGAACATATAAGTCAACTTGAACATCATTCACCTACGATTATTGTTTGTTGCTTGAATATTCAGGCACTTCTAGTCTTAGCGACACCAATAACAAATGAGAATAGTTTTTTTTTTCATTCACATAGCAAAAATGTAAATTCAATGTGTATAGTGCACTTTTTGAATATGCACATAAATGTAACTTACAATGAAAAACATGAATGGCATTGTGTATGCCTCTTTGACATGACTACGACATGAAAATCGCTGAAACAAAAGCAGAAAAATTTGTAATAAATGTTTGTAATGACAACGATTTTAAGGCGCATTGATGTTAAAGATTGGTGAATTTTTTTAAGAGTTGTAAGCTATGGGTATGGGTTTAGTGGATCAAAAGAAGTGATAAATGATATCATAGACTAAGATGCTATTGACTTGGTTTTCTCTTTTAGCTATGAACCTATAGACGATTTATTATGATTTTTTCTACCTAATATGGCTAGATGAAGGTTAAGTAAAGCTTAATTACTGATATTCTAGGTTTAGCTAGGTCATTAAAAGAGCCTTTATGTACTCAGAGTATTCCAGAATATTATAAAGTTTCTCGAACAGTTTTATAGACTTATCTACTGTTCCAGTCTCAGGATGAAGATCTAGAATAGTTTGATAATCAATAATCAAAGACAATATGATCCAACAAAACTAAAGTCATCCAAAAACCAACACCTTAAAGTATATTAAAAGAGTGTGACCGAGAACGAGGTAAAGAAAATTATTCACTTGATGTGTAAAAAATACATCATAAATTCACGGCTTGTTGAGCTAGACTGACTTAATTGTTTTCATGATTCTCTTAGATTTTCCATTAAGCAAGAAGTCTCTGTGATATTTTTTTTGTATGTGAATAAAAAACTATTTAAAAGCGAAACGAAGAAGTTTTCTTCAAACATATTATTACACACATAATTATGACATTGCACGACAAATTTGTGCGAAAATCGTTAATAATTTATGTAAATTTACGATCTACGATAATTGTTGCATAAATTTGCATCAAATTAACTTGTTGAATGAGAAGTAAACGATAAAAAATTATTATAATCGGTTGAAAGTAGCATGCGAGAAGGTCGGGTTATTTGTGCGTTAAAGAATTACGTTGGAATTGTTTCACGAGGAAGACTGATAAAATGTTTATCTTGCGAAAATTTTTGCAATTAGCTAATTAATGAAATGTATCAAATATTTATCATCTTCCTGTTAATGGATTCGAATTAATGAAAGCTAATCTGATTTGGATGGGAATGTTTAACGGAAATGGTAATCGGAGGATTAAATCATTTTGATATTTTATAGATTTATGATGAATTTAGTGTCACTAGGTTGTATTTTGATGATTTTAATCGTTTAGATATGAAAAAGTGTTGAGAATAAAGTAACGGTTATTTAATATTCAAATGTATGCAACTATAATTCGATGGTTTTCACTTGTATAGTTGTTAACCCCTTCATATGAATATGTAGTCATTGATAATTTACAAAATAAACTTAACTTCAGAACCTCTGTACCAAAGAGTACAGAAGGAAATGAAGACAGTAAATCCACCATTGCATAGCATAGCATCGATTAAATCTTTTCCTTTTATATACAATTTTTATGTTTATGTGGTTTATGTATTTTTATGATCCAACCATTAAACATCATCGAGTAAGTCAGAAATGCGGGAGAAAAAAAAAGAGTATATATCCATATTTCCCATGCATGCAAACGTAAATGTATAATTAAATCAACGTTTAATTTCGTTATAAAGAAAAGGAAACACAACTTTCGAAAGAATAAGCACGAAGGCTATAATTTATATTGAATATTATTATATACTTTATCTCCCCCAAAAAAAGAAATGAAAAGATATTGTGTGGTAAGATGAGAAATGAATGGAAATACAGTAGCACTTGATGTTTAATTTTTATTTTTACAAATGATTGGTCACACCTTCTTTTTTTCTCGTTCCTCTCTTTACATTTCGTGTGTACTTTTTGAAGATGCTCTAGACACAGACTTTACCTCAATCCTTAAATATTTTCGTCTGTTGTTCTTTACATCATCATTGCAATTGATTGCTACTTGCCATACATCATTTCATTTATTCTCATTCTCACTACATGTATTAATCAGCAAAGGCTTAACATTGATTTCATTGATCTTTTATGATTTCATATAAGAAAATCTTTACATGTCTTACACTGTCATTACGGACTGTACAGCAATAAAATGTTGTTTTATAATCATTGAGAATTCAGAAAAAAAGATCTTTTTCTTTATTTTTGGATATGACTTAATGATAGAGTACGAGAAGACAAGTTAACAGCAGAGGAAGAAGGAGTTTTAGAAGTCAATAACAAAATAATATAAAAGAAGAATCATTGGGCATCCGACCGACTTTAAACTGTTCCTTTGGGGAAATACAGTGGATAAAGCGAAAAAATGGAGTTGAATTTTTATGATTTAATTTACAATGCCATGTTATTTTCTCTGTTCTCTCTCATGTCTCGAAAACTTAGTCTTACTTCATGATTGTACACAATAAAAATGTTTTACTTTTTTTCTGTTCTGAGAACGAGAAGAAAAATGGATATAAAAGTGAAGAATGCGCCCAGAGACGAACTTTGATTGTATTTTATTTATATCCATTATAAAAGCGGAGCAATGTGCACTTTTTTTAAGACTATGGCTAGCCATAAATTGAGTTTTTATGTACTTCTATTGTTGCTTGTTGTCTTCATTGTTGACTGTTGTACCGGAAAAAGTTTTCATAACTCTGACATTTTTTATGACCATCCTCAATATACTGGTCTTGTCATGTCTCTCTCACTTTTCAATGATTTATCTTTATTGATGGTCGTGTCAGGTTCATGTGGGTAGACTTAGCGATAATTTTGCAAATTATCAGGTGAGAAAGGGTGAACTACGAGATGTTGGTCTAGGACTAAATGCTTAATCTCAAAAATCTATAATTTTTCGAAATTTTACAACTATTTAAGGGGAACCTAATTTATAATAGGATGCTGGTAAGTAGGGATAGTTCAAATAAACGTTTTATTGTTCTATGAATGCATTCTCATGAGATTGATAGCCCTAATTAGCTAAATTTGATTCATGTCAGTTAATCGACTCAGGTCTGTAAGCAATCAGGACTATAAATGACATTTTGGTGTCTGAGCTTAGCTGAAGTTCTGCGCCTGTGTGCATCCTTAACAGACTCTTTTTGGAAAGTCATGGGCAAGATTAATGCTATTCACACAATGCTTAAGACATGAACAGCTAGAACCTCAGCTTAAGAGACTTCAAAGATCACATCACTTGATTCTGATCCCAGCAATAAGGCAGATAATAAATCAAATTATGTCTCCTAAAGCAATCTAAACATGCTCATATACATCCATTGCTGACATTAATTTTACAAAATGTTTAATGAAGATATCATATGAACATTATATGGTAGGCGCAAACATATGAAATAAAGAAAAGGAGAAAAAAAATAGATATGAGAAATAAAAATTCACATAAATGTATTAAGTACCGTTGCAAATTGCAACCATTCATAAATGCCACAACATACAGCAAAATGTTTCAATTCGACACAGAATTATGATGTTGATCGTAAAAAAAATATAATATTATTGTGTGTCTACATGTATTATGAATTATTAAGACATCAAAAAAATATATAATACATAAAAAGTATGAAGCTTAAGCAGGTCTGATGCAATTTCATTGCCCCAAAACCAAATATGGCCATTTTATAGAGCTCGCAACGCTGCATGAAGAATTTTGCTATAAAAAACACTAACTGCACATGATTTATACATCATGTCATGTTTTGTCTTCAGTGCATGTCGTAATAAAAATCATCATCCTCGTCAAATCGTACGAATTTCTTCTGCTTAAAATCCATTAAAACCTTCTTATTTTAGTAAGATCATTGAGGAAGTTGTTTGACTCCCATATCATTCGAAAAGCCATTTAAACGTTGATCTTTTATTGAAATAATCTTAATATATCGCTTAATAAAATGTTCAACTGTTCACTCTAATCTCATAATGATACTTTTATGAGCTACGGAAACTCGTATATTTCTTCTTTTTGCGCAAGCATAAAAAAGCACTTTAAGTCGTTTTATCTCAATTTTGTTTTATTTAAAATAACAAAATAACAAAATGAAATAAAAATATCTAGCTAGATTCTTACAAAAAATACCTCGCGGGAATATTCTTATAAAACAAAAGGATTAAAAAAATAGGCAGGCTTCATAAACTTGATAAATTTTACGATTTTTTATTCTTATTTGACTTAATGGCTCATTTAATAAACAATAATGAAATATAATTTGAAATGGTTCTTTAATTACAGAATTTATGGTGCAAGAAGATGCTCAAAATGTTTAGCCTCAATAAGCTCGTCAGAGCTTGTAATGCGCGCACGTCACCTAGTTTATCATATTCAATGTTTTTCATGTGCAATCTGTAATCAAGTATTAAATAAGGGAGACCAATTTGGGGTGAGGAATTCAGCTGTGTTTTGTAGGTGAGTAGTTTGACCAAATTGAATTAATTAGGACCAAAAATTGCATCATTAATAACTTAAATTACTAAATTCCATTCCAATTCCTCAACAGGCTACACTTTGACATCGATCCATCAACGCCAAGTCCATATTCGTGTTCATATACACCATCAAATGCATTCTGTGATTCGCCCAATGCACCATCAAGTCCAAGTGAGTTGACGAGTATTGAGAGTGGATTTTACGGAGCTCAACATTTAAATTCATCGAATGCAAACTCAATAACGCCTCTGCCACAACAACCGAGACAAAAAGGCCGTCCAAGAAAACGCAAACCCAAAGATATTGAGGCAATGACAGCCAATTTAGGTGAGTCTCTCTTTCATTTCGTGTATATTATAGAGATATCCATGCATGCATAAACTAATCTTATCTTCTGACTTATTCAAAACATGTCAGTAATGATTTTTCTCCTCACCATTTCGTAGTGTGGCTTCGCTTTCCTCCTCTTCTTCGTACCTTTTTTTTTATCTTAAACTTCGAGCAAGCCGCTCATTCAAAAAGCAATTCGCATTTGAATGCCTATTTTGAGATACTTTTGCTTGCTTTCTTTTGCGAAAACAATGAGATTGAAAACGTAAATATTTTTGTGTTTTCGAGCAAGTGCCGGCAGTTGTTTCTATTTCTCTATTTAACATGTGAATTTTATCTTTGCATTTTGCGTTGAAAATGAAATATTCTTTAAGTACGAAAAAGTTACATTCCTTGAAAAAAAAAGTTATTCGACATGTGCATGTTCTCAACAGAGGCACAAATTTGTAAATTTTTATTGAATAATGCATGAATATATTATTCATTTTTCATTTCTCAAAGGGGGTTATTTGAATGTAATGTCTATTAATGTGTTTTAAGTATAAACCGTAAAGCAAACAGTCTCATTATTGGCTGTCAAAATAGGACATAAAACAGCCAATATTGGGCCAGTAGGACAGTGATTTTGTCGTTCTCTGAATTCTCTGGTATACTCAAGCTATACCAGACTATTTACACTAGAGTGCACCTCATAGCAATCACTGAGAGCCTAAGTGTAGGTTTTGGAACTCCAAAGATTAAATTCGACGAACTAAAACGAAATTCTTGTAAATGAGCTCATAATAGGTTGCACATCATTACTTCACAATCCCCATGCCATCTACTCGCCTTTCCGTTACTTGTGATCTTTTAAAACTGCTGTTCAGTTCTCTTTGAAAACGATCCACGTTGTCAGATGAGATGAAGGAAATAATTTTTGACATCAAATTGACATGAGTAGAAAAAAAAGATCAAGCAATAATTATGTCGCTCATGTAATCATGTGAAATTTCCGTTCTATATCGATTGTTATCATAATATTGCATTGACAGTGCTGTTAATTGCTATACAATAGACACTTTTGATACGAAATTTTTGATTAGCATTTACAAGTTTACAGTTGCAAATTATAAAAAAAATTATTTCGCATTGTCATGCAACACAACACGATGTAGCATGATGTGAATTTAATTACTCAATGATTAAAACTTTAAATCATATTTTTCTTGACTACCAGCAAAGTTCTTCCGACATCGGCCACAAATCACTAATTCATTCATTTTGTAGCTACAACCTCACCGAATGAATGAATGAATAAATTTGTTGTAAATTTATGTAACGAATTAAAATTTATTAATGCGATTACAAACAAATGATAAATAGCTTCTTTAAATCAATTTCTTTCCACTATGTCAAAAACTCACTGGGTGGAGAGTCTAAGTACAAAAATAAATACAGAATAACTTGAAATTCCCCTCATCATGATAAAAAAAGTTTTTATTTGTATGTTTAAACAACAAACAAGCAAGCCTACCGTGAAGATGCAAACAGCAAAAAAATTGAAATAAATGCTCAATAAATAATGGATTTAAGAAAAGATTAAGCTCATGAAAAAAAAAATATCTACTAAAATAAGATTAAAGTTTGCTAATCCTCAAAAGATTCGCAATATAAAAAAATGTAAAACCGCTTGAAAATTAATATATATTTGACTTGACAGTCTACATCGATTAATCAGACGTGGGAAAAAGAATAAAAGCTAAATTGCTGCATGATTTTTCATGTATTTATGAAATAATTCATCATTTTCTTTGTAAAACATGAGTACAGTTGTTACTAGTCGTCCCACTTGTCTCTTACTTCTCAACTCACTTTTGTTGAATATTTTTAAAAACAGATAGATATCAATTCTTTTGACACTGTCATTCATCGCTGTACTATCTGAGTCGCATGATGCGTAACGAAGATACTTGATCGGCATTGAAAGAAAATAAAAACTTAAAAGACTCTTTAGCTTTATACAAATGATCTGTTTTGTTGCCTTTCAATAAATACATTTTTTTATATATATTTTTTTTATAAAAAGAGTGAAGTGAAGTGAGTTGGCATTTACAAATATTCTTAGTGTATCTTCTTCTTACTATGCTCCTGGCTGGGGTAGACTTGTAGCTACTGACTAAGGATAAACTTTAGCTATTGATTAAGAATAGGTGAAAATCTAGACGAATTTATGTCCAATTGCTGAGTTTTGTTCTCCCCAAACGTTCCATAGTGATTAATTCTTGTAGCTCTAGAATCTCTCTATATGCTGCTATTAGGGGCTTCAATCCAAAAATCACACAACTTCAATTACTTTTAAATCACAATCTAATGTGAATGTGGTTCCGTTAAAAATCATTCCATCAAATTCCAATTTATTCAGTCCTCAAAATTCCCATCAGCAACAAAGACACAGCATGAAAACAATCCCTACAACTCGGGCTTTTCACAATTTTTAAGGAGGGAAAAATATTAAAAAATAATAGCAGGAAAAATCAATTTTTCACTCATGTCACACGTTAGAGTGTTTAAGAATCATGTAGACAGTCATTGAGTCGCCAGATGTCTGATAACAATGACTTGTTTGGTGTGAATGACTGGTTCTTTGATATTATTTATAGCAGCGACTTGTCACTTATGAGGATATGTGACAACATAAATGTTTGTGTCTTTTTGTGCGCAAATCGTCAATAAATGTGCGGCGGGGTTCTTTAAAGGAATCAAATAATTTTTTTATTTATATATATCGAAAAATGCTCTTTGAAATGTCATAAGAAGGCTGTCATGAAAATTGAAATTTTGAATTTTTTTCTCACTTCATCGTGACATTGCAAGAATGCATTAATCTTGTTATGATGATTAAAGTAATGCGCGTAGAACCACAAAATGTACATAAACACATAATTGTGATAAATCAATGCTCTCTCAAGACTGTTGACTTGAAAAAATAATAATCTCACTTTTCTATTTACACGAGAATTCGGTCGTCAAATTAAATGAGTGAAAATTACTTGCGTGCTCCATAAAAAAAATATCGTAAAATTGACGACAATTTTCGTGAAATTTATGTTTGTGACTTTTCAACTGCTCAACAAGATGGTCAAATCAACTCATTCGACACTTTCCCACGCAAAACATTTCACTTCTTAATCATTCATACGGTGAATGAATGACAGCTTTTGGCTGTTAAAATATTTTGAGAGATGTGAAGAATTTTTTTTTCTGGTGCTATTGAAACTACAAAACAGAGACATCACTAAACTCTATTTTGTCAATAAACTTTAGATAGGAATTTATATTTGATGGGGTCGATTGTGAATGACGTGATGTTAAAATTGCCATTTTAGACCCCCTCCCCCTTACTAAAGTGTAGTTTGCTTAACAATTGTTGAAAAATTAAATGCAAATTTTAATTTTAACCCTCTTAAAATATTCCATAACACCCGAATAAAGCCTGTCAGAAATAAACTAAAACTTGATGACGATAAAGAAGCTTCACATGTTGACTGAAAGAGAGGGGCAGCATGTAGAGAAATGCCATAATAAAGAATTTATGTTGATCACCAATTCAAATGTTGTCGAATCAATGGGGTGTCTACCAGTGAACCGTATATAGCTGAAGTGGATATTTATATTTATATTGAACCCTATAATAAATTATCTAAACAAATTCATTAGATCATCTACAGCTATGTAGCTCTATAATATGAAGAAACATTTCTTTTTATTTACTGACTGGACATCACAAAAAAAAAGATAAAAAGAAAGAAAAAAAACACATTTGTGAGAATTTTTTTTAGAAAGGAGGATGAAGACGAAGAATAAGAAAAAAGAAGAAGTAAATGTGCCAAATGAACTCCTTAGGTCTTTGTACCGCATCGGCTTTTATCTAACGTACTATGCTGTTGAATTTTTGGATACTCAGAAGCGCATAGAAAAAATAAAAAATTTTATTGATAAATATTTGGATAGTTATATAAAATAGTTAGCACATAGTCGTTAATAAAGTCGAACAAAAGATTTCACTCTCTTTGATGTGATGGAACTTCCAAAAATAATAAAAAAATGAAGTTTTTTCATGAACTGAAGTGTCATGAATGCCTACAGCCCATTCTGATACTGTGCTGCAATAAAATAAGATAAGGAGATCATTGACTAATATTAAACAAGAAGCATAAGTGCCTTGATAGCTGAGTTGGCAAGGTACAGGTCACAAAAGTTGGTGTTGAATTTGGACTCCCGGGTTCGAATCCCACCAACAGCCTAGTGACTTTTCAGAAGCTTGGATACTTCTGCTTCTTAGGTGCAGAAGTTTAAGACGTAAAACTAAGAATTAGGCAATGTGAGATGCAGGAACGGGTCAAGAATTATGTAGACAGAATGACAAAAGATACGACAGCCGTAAATTCACCATAAAGAGCTTTTACTGGAACGATCCTGGAGACATTGTGACCTATTGAAAATTGGAACGGTTGCCGACATGAACACTAGTTCTAAGATCTATAACAGTTTTTAATGGTCGGGTTTGATTTTCTCAAACTCAACTAAACTCTTAGGTTCAAGTCTTAAAGATTCTTCAAAAATGTCATCAAATCAATCTACTCAAATAAAAATACTTGTTTTTCTCCAAAATCTGTGTCTTATTAACACTTGGAATTGCAAGCTTAAATCTTATTTGAATATCAATCGACCTTGACGCCAAACAAACAAAAAATACAATTCCAATTGAATCACACAATAAGTGTTAAAAAATCGAATAGAACTGAAATTTAAATCCAATCGATTCACGCAATTTTCAAGTGTATAAAACTCATTCATACCTCACTAATTCGTATCTCAAATTATTTGCGATTAGTTAACAAGATTGAGTTTATAGCAACAACAGATTCCGTCTGAAGAGTGGAAATAAAAATTTAAAAAAAAAGTTCCCATCAAATTCATCGATGATTTAAAACGAAACAAATATCTCATCTCACAATATTATTGAGATTGATACATCGCAATAATCGTAAAAATGAGGTAAGGTAAAATAATAAAAGCAGAAAAAAAGGAACGACTAGAAGTCATAAAAAAGCATTATTATTGTTCATCTCTGAATGTGAAGTTATAAAACATTATTCGTGGAAGTCTTATTTTATGACTGGCTGCTGCTGCTGTTGCTGCTCTACAATCTTTATAATTTTCTGTACAAAAAAAAAACAAAGAATCATATAAAAAATTCTGTAGCTGAACAACATGAAAATAAATATTTTTCATGCCACAAAAATAGTGAAGGAGCTAGACATGATAGAACAAAAGGCATCTTGAATTGAAGTCACCACAATGTTGAGCATTTATATATACATGAAATGAAACAAAAATGAAAAAGAAGGCGCCATCATTCAAGAATGTGAAATTGTAAAAATGCATGCGCGCGCAAAAAAAAATACTACATGATACATGAAGATGACGATGATGAAAACTGAAAGAGGAGGAAAAGAAGATGAAGAATTATGAAATGACGATGTCCATACTACTTTTTTTTTATGAAAGATAAATCATAAATCGAACATATCGTAAAACATCATATGAAACTGAAAGCAGCAATAAAGTCTGCAAGGAAGTGTCTATAAAGCGCTGTTTTCATCATAGTTTCGATCAGTGACAGATCTGTCACTGACCTGTATCGCAACTCTGGTTTTCATGCTTGGAAAACTTCAAATGAATGCTATCAAAAAAGTTTTTGACACAAAACTCAAGGAAATCATTTAAATTAAATAGAAATTCGAACTCAAGCATCGATTGTAAAATAATAGAACCTTCATAGATGTTTTCAATTTTTTGTGTAGATCTTTGACAGATATTTACATGCTACAGACATTTCATCGTCGAAAAAATTCGGTATGTTCGAAATTAGTCGTAGCTAAGTAGCTAAGGACAAGAATCGTTCGCCCAAATCTTGTTTTTGTAAGAAATATTCATGAAAATTTAACGGTTTTCTGATATTCAAACCAAAAAATAACGGTTTTGACATGACCGTACCATGAATATTTATTTGTATGTCACTGAAGGTTCGAAAAAAGACATTGAAAACCCTGGTTTTGCACTCAGTTGTCACATTATTTAAATGGCAAGAACATTCAAGTTCGAACAAGCAGCCAGACGGACAGACAAAGCACTGACATCAGCGACTATTATTGTCAAGAAAAGCTGTTTAAAAAAATCATAAAACGAACTGAAAATAATAAAGACTGGTAGGAATAGAGACATATGTAATTATACAACTTCATAATATCCGTTTAGTAATGGAAATGAAATGCAATTGGAACATGAATGGATTGTAGCTGATGATATATCATTTCATATGATATATTTACACGTACATTTCAAATAATATGATGATCATTTTATCTCTGAATCTCCACCGTTGTTATATTTTTTTTATGTCTCACACATAAACTCTCATCAGTGATTGCAGCCTTTTTGCTTTATCATTCAAGTCATGAAGAAGATGTTGAAGTCAGCAGGAGGAATAAGAAGAAGAAAAATAAGCAAGAACTGTAATCTTTATGGCATTCTTTTCATATCATGTGCTTCAAAAACACGATAACTACATATCCATTTCATATGTTTTCTCTCTCATTTCACGATTATAATTTCAAATTCAGACATTAAAATGCGAAATTTATGTTGTTTGCATGTTTTTCTGCGTTTATTTTTTTCATTCTCAGAAAATATGAGAGATTAATTTTCATTACCATACCAGCTCCCGAATATCTTAATTCATCCGTCTTTCCATCTCACTCACTGAATTGAATTGAATTCAATAAAATGTAAGACGATAGTCGTAATTATCATAAAATATCATCATCATCGGCATTTAGAGTTTTATTTGTGTGGTATAATTTTTCATCTTCTTTCAATATTGATCTGTCTGACTATTTGCTACTGATTCTAGCGTTTTGTTGGAACTAGAATTTTTTTAAAAAAAATAATAATGAGTTAATATTATTCAGTTTGGGTTATTCAAAGTAAAAAAAAGATATAATGTTATTAAAAACTTGCTTTTGAACTACTTTCTAATGGAAGGATTTGAACCTTGGTTAATTGGTAAATTTTGAAATTTTCATAAATTTGATTTTTTTCGTGTTATTGCTTTATTGTAAAATGTTGGACATAAAATCTTAGAATTTTAACAGAGCTTTTTACTTTTCAAAAATCAACCTGCAATTGGTTCTTGTTCACATACAGAATCAAATTCAACGAGTTAAATCTAAACCTGCAGATCGTTCTATAGTTGCTTACTGTAACCATGTTCCTATGTGAAGCTTAGGTTACAACAAAAGACTTTCCATCTGACTCTGTTGCTGACTTTGTCACCTAGTTTGTCCAATTTGTCTGTCCGCACAAAAAGCTGGCACTCTTTCATGACTGTGCTGCGCCAAGTATCATTTGGAGCTCAATCAATCGATTTATAATGTAATGGTTGAATGTCTCCCATTCAACTCCTTCAAATGATGTCGAAATTCCACAAACTGCGCTTCATTCACAGACCTCCTATAAATTTTCTAACCTCCAAAAATTTCTTTCTTTTTTTTTATAAATGATACGATTGTAACATTATATTGATGATGATGAGATGAGAATGTCTAAAACTGAAAATGCTACCTCACGGTAGCCAAAATAGATGAATATGAAAAATGAGAAGAATTTCTTATTAGACTGAAATGAAGTAATCATCACTGACAAGTAAAAATATCTTCATTTACTAAGACGTGCGGGCTTAGAAGTAGAAAATATTTTGAATACTTTTAAGTCTCATGTGTAGAATGCATGTATGCTATATCTTCTTAGATGAATCATGGCATATAAAATCTGAGATTTAATTAAATAATGATTTTGTAATAATAAATCATACCGAGATAAAAAAGACATATTTTTACTCAATTCCCATATTTTTTTTTTTCATTTACAGATTTAAATTCCGATTACCTTGAGCTGGGCTTTGGCCGTGGCAGTTTGGGAAGTGCAGCGTCACGTGCAAAACGTATGCGAACATCATTTAAACATCACCAACTGCGCACAATGAAGTCATATTTTGCAATTAATCACAATCCTGATGCCAAGGACCTCAAGCAGCTATCACAAAAAACTGGATTACCCAAGCGTGTATTACAGGTGATTATAATCATTCCTATTTTATTGCCAAATCAACGCAAGCTCCTCTCCTTGTGTGTGGCGCAGTATTCATAATTCATTTTGTTGTGCTGCATAAATTTTAAAACAAAACGCGCGGAGCTTATCTTTGATTTATTTTTGCTCTTCTTGCTATTCTTTGCCTTTATATGCCTTTTCAATGCACAATTTTAATATTTTTTTTCTCTTTTTCTTTCTTTTTCTTGTTCTTTATATGAAATCATTTTGGCCTTCTCGTATTGCGCTGATATGTGCTTCAGGTTTGGTTTCAAAATGCCAGAGCAAAATGGCGCCGAATGATGATGAAGCAGGAAGGAAAATCAATTGATGGTGAAAAGGGCGAAGGTTCGATCGACCTCGATTCATATAATCCACATAGTCCTCAATATATGAACATCACATCACCCACGTCATTAGAATGAGATGAGAATTGTACAACAAATAGTTGTGGAGTATTATAGTAGCTAGACTTCCCCTATTTTTGTGTACATAATCGCATAGACAATTCTTATTTAAAATCTCTTACAAAGACTGTAAAAAACATAATTAATTATGGAGCTTCACGTGTGAAAAATGAAGCACAAATATCATCAACACTGTCACCGTCACTCAGAAAATGAAAAATAAAAAATTCATGCATATATGAAGGGAATCCGTTTGCCAAATATAAAAAATTTTCACAATTTAAATTTCTTTCTTTTCTTAATTAAATTCACAAACGAAAAAGAACTGAGAAAAGAAATTAATTTGCAGTTAAGAGAAATAAATAAGTGAATTAATTAGATTACACTTTAATTGTCGTCGTCGTCACATAATAATTGTGGAAGTTGAAACTTTTTTTTTTCTTCAAATAAATAAAATTGAAGATAATTGCATGAATATATTAAAAAACAGAAGTAATTGTTTAACCAGTTATTGAATTACCTTCACTTGTCCAAACAGTAATTTTATTTCACTATTAAAATAATTCACTTTTTAACTTTGTAGTCGTTAATTTAAATTAATTATTAATTATAAATTAATTAAAATGTGTATATTAAAGAAGTTTCATTTTAAAGACTTGAAATTACTGTTTGATTGTTTTTATGGTTGCATATTCATCGAAAAATAAAATGAAAAAATCGTACATCATAAGTCCTTAAGATTGTTGTAATATATTGTGCATCTCTGTAATCTTTAAACATATTAAAAGTTATTATTATTATTAATATTATTTTATGTAAGATGTTCTTAGTGGAACTGGCGCTTTTTTTTTTCAATTTAATTCTTGATGAGGGTGTTTTGCCAAGCATCTTGGATATCTCCCTGATAGCTTAATAGCATGAAAATTTTCGAGAAAATTGTGAAGATACAGTAGAATAGAGGTTCAATTCCTTAACATGTTAATCTGTTTTTAAAATGAATTTATCTGCCAAATATTTAAATTAAAGTCCAAGTTGGTGTTGAAATGTGAGAATCAAGTGGTTCAATGATGGAATGGATTAATAAATTGGTCTTTAATTATTGTTAAAACTGTTAAAAACCTCTTTTGAATCAATTGAACCAAATATCAATGAAATTTGAAATTTATGAATTTAAAATTAGAGGTTAGTTCAGACAAGATCAGATTTGGTATAATAGATTCTTAAACTAGATCGCAGTACCTCTATCTTATTAAATTTCTTGATAATTCACAATTATTCATAGATATTAAAAGTCAGACACCATCAAAAGAATTAGAATCAATTTCTTTGATAAAAATAAAGAATTTTTGGGATTTTTTGACAGTGCCTGACTCTTAACATTCGCGTAGGATGTAAAGCTAAACCCCAGTTTCAAGAACAAACTTTAAAACCACACCATTTCCACTAAGAAACATTCTATACGCCGTCATTTGTAAATATGAAGAAAAAGAAGATGTAAATTTTAATTTTTAAATTAATTCAAGTATGAAGCAAGATAAATAAAAAAAAAACGAAGAATATGTAAGTAAGTAAGTGGTGAGTAAATGAATGATGTAATGGCACACATGTTTATGGTATTTGATAGAGAAAAAAAGATAACATGGAGAAAAGAGAAGAAAAAAAAATAAAGAAATGAAAAACATTAAAAGTTTTTATCACAAAAACAAAATCTTTTACTTTAATATCGCGTCTATAGTTTCAATTTCCATACAGGAGGAGATATCAAATCAGTAAGTAAATTGGGGATGTTCTTAATTGATGTCAATTGAATTTAGAAATTAAAAGAATCCTTTCTCACATCTTATGTCGCAAAATTATATTTATGAAGTGTTTCCCAGTCTTAAAATTACTGTTCTGCCAACCTACAATGAGACATCATTAATGAATGACTCTCCCATGAAAGACCTTGGTAAGGTTCATCTGACATGATAATTTTCCCTTTCAGTTTTTCAGAAACACAAAAAAATTCCCAGACACACTCGCTTTATTGAACTAGAGATGAAGCTTTTGGATATCTGAACTGGTTTCCATTCATTTTCTTCTTCATGCTTTATACAAATTCTATTATTGAGCAATCATTCATCATTTCATTGATTTTATTGATACTTTTCAATCATTTGAGACAGAAGCCTCATCCTTGGACGTCTGCTAAAACAAACCTGATATTCAATTCATAAAAATTCGACAACTCATTCATTTCTTCTTACCAATCATCTCAAATATCAAACATTTGACTGTCTAGCATAGCAAGAAAAAAAAAATATAAATATATTATGGATGTTGTTAGATGTAGAACACTATCATTAATAATCTTTTTATTGCTCGATCACGTTTTTCAGTGTTCATATTTTTTGAGATATATATTTATTTAAAAATAAATATTTTAAGGTAGGTAACTAGAAGAACATTCACAAAATGTTTGTCGATCTGTTTATGAATTTATGTGACGTATCATTTCAAAAAAAAAAAAATGTTTTTTAATGCAAAAAAATTTATAATTTATAAATAGCTAGAATTGAAGTTTTGTTTGCTTTAACGAGATGATAATTTGACTATGCAGTCGTGAGCTGACATTCTTCTATATGGACTACCTGTGGGGTTTTGAAATATTATTTTTAGAATTAGTGAAAGGGATCCTTTTTAGGAGTGGTGTCAAATTTCTGCTTGAATTGTAAAGATTTTTGTGCAATTTTATGAATTTTGAGTTTTGTTCGTGACTTTTTTGGTGAATTTTAATTTTTTAATGAGAAGCTTCTACAAAAAGCAGGTCAACAACACATCAATAAGGGATGCAGATGAGGAAGGATGACTGGTTGGACATACACTTCGTAAGAAAATCGTCAGAGAGGATGTCATTCCTTGGATGGAATCCGCAAGGGAAAAGATGCACAGGAGCTCCAAAAGCTACTTGGTGCAGAACAGTAGTAAAATAATGTCAGCTTGATGTGCAGCCAGAGAATATGTACAAACCAGGTGACAAGGCAACCAACAGAGTCAGATGAAAAACCTTTTGTTATAACCTTAGCTCCACATAGGATCATGGTTACAGTAAGTAAGTAAGTAAGTAATCAATAAATTTGGAAATTTGATGAAATTTGAGGAATTGTTTACAAAGAAATTGGTTTAATTCAAAAGATAAAATTAGAAGATTTAATCGAAGAATTATTCTAGTTGATTAATTGAATTGATCAGTTAAGAATATAGCATATCAAATAAAAACAATCATTTATCGATCACTTGAATCATTTTATGTACGAAAATTAAAAGTTTGAAATAAAATCTTTAATATTTAATCAGTAGTGTATGTAGCAATAGTTTATTTGCGAAATGTTGAGCAAGCGTCCTTGAAATTTTAAAATTTGATATGAGATACATAATTCTAGTTCAAACATTTCACAATCACAAATGCATCAATTCACTGTTATTTAAACATCACGTCATCTTCCAAATACTTATTAAGATAAATTGTATCAGTGATAATCGAAGAAATAAAGTAAATGTCAATCAATAAAGCTATAAAATGTGCAAATATTTTTGTAAATCTTATTGACTAGGCAACTGCAACTCAATTCAACCTAAAGTGTTAAAATGTTCAGAAAATTTCAACATCATGATGAACTTTAGTTTCTTTTATGATATTTTCATCATTTGATCAGTTCCGGCTTCTTAGGAACAGTAAAATACCTCAAAATCGTGAAAGAAACTGCCACAAAAATATCAATTCAAATAAAATCCTCCTAGATTTTCAGAATTCTCCAAAATCAACAATAAATTCACTTGAAATTCACTTCAAAAGAATTCGGCAAATACCAAAAAAATCTGATCAATATCAAGCTATAATTTTCAGCAGCATATAAGACAAATTTTTTTGCTATAATTTTATTTTCACTCATCATCCAAAAGAATTGAGTAAATAGCACATTTGATAATAATCAATAAGCAAACAATAACAGAGAGATGAAGATGTTCCTATTAACACATTCTCGAGTTTATCTCAAAAGTTATCAACCGAAAAGATCTGAGAAAGAAGAAGTAAAACTGCCAACATTGAATACAATGAACAAACAGTAATTCCAGGTCAATATGACTCTGCAAATAATCATGGCAATGTCGATTGAGATTCTTTTCGTCTCTATGTTTTAAAGTAAGATTGAGGAGCAAGAAAGAAGGAAGACAGAAAGCAGAATAAAAAATCACGATCAGCTATAATTAATTTTTTGGTTCGTTCGTTTTTTTTTTAAATTTGAAAAGAAGTTATCTCTCATTCTGGCTACTGGAAATTATTATGACGTGTGCTGCTTTTGTCTTTCACTTCTTAATTTTATTTTCTTGCTGCATTTCTAGAGAAAGATTTTGATCACTCTGTTATTGTCTTCATCATAATTTTCATAATTTTTGGTTGTTATGTTGTGGGATGAATGCTGCGTCTGTAATTGTTTTGTGTGGCTGGCTGACTTTCTCTCGTAAAAATTAGTCAAGGGGGGGGGGGGGGGGGGGGGGGGTTGTCAAGTAGGGTTCGGAAAACCACTAACTGATTATCTACAGTTATCAACTATTTGATTATCTACACAAAATCTACAGTTATCTACAGTTAGTAAACTGTAGATAAATTCTTTGAATGAAGAAAATCCGTTAAAAAAAATTGCAAAGTTTTGTAAACAAACAATTTTTGGAGACTTTTTTAATAAATTTATTTATAGAATACACTTATTATACATTAAGAGAGCTCAAATGTCAACATTAGCTATTAAAAATCAACTTTTTGTTTATCGAATATTTGCAACGGTTATATGAAATTCAAATATTGTTCATATGTTTGTAAACAAAAAAAAAATTGCGAAAAATTCTTAATTTTCAATTAAATCACCACACAAACGCTTTTAAAATACTGAATGAAGCCTTATGTCACTTTATTTGAACTGTTACATGCTGTTGCAGTCCTGTCTTTAGCATTTCAACTCTTTTTTCAGTAAATTAATAACGTTTTTTTCCACTTTGAAAAAATTATCTACAGTTACTTATCTACAGTTACAAATTGTAGATAACTGTAGATAAGTGTTACTAACTGATAATAACTGTAGATTTCCGAACCCTACTGTCAAGAAGTATGTAATGTATCATATTGTAACAAAGGAGGAGAGGGGGTAAAAAAGTCGTTTTTTTGTGTAACGTAATAAGTGAACGGCCCCTAAAGGGATCGACGCAGCTGCAATTTTGTGCTGTTTAGAACCGTTAAAAAAAATTCTTAATCTCCGTTAAAATTCAAATACAAGATATCAGTTAAATTTTTGTCAAAATTCAAATTTCCGATTAATTTCAAATTTCTGATTTCAGTTAAAAATTCAAATTTTAAATATCCGTTTTTTTCTTTCCTTCAGTTTACAGCAGAAATCCTAAAATGCGCTGCTTACCCATTCATTCTCATGTCTCTTAAACTATCTTTTCTCTCTGAATTCCCTACAACGGGGTCCTAATTATATTAATCATACAATTTCCACTCTTCATCATTATGCTCTTCTCTCCCTGCCCCTTTTATCATCATCTTAGTTGATTAAGACAGAAATATTGCAATATTAATATAATTTGGATCACAGTTTTTCAATTTTAAATGCACGAAAGACTTTTTCTATAATCTATAGAACAAATCACCAATTATTATCCTTAATAAAAAACCGCGCGTTCAGTTGGAATGTGAACGAAGAACAAACAGAATATGCTGATTAATCTTCAGCAATGAGGATACCGCCTCTAGAAATAACATCCAATTATGAAGGATCATCCCTCAATTTCGCTTTATTATCAAACGAAGTTCATCAGAAGGATATTTAGCTTCTATCCTCATTAATTTTGAATCGTCCTTGAGATGGATAATAAGGCGCTAAGGTTCACACGTTATGTCAAGTGGATTCTCTCAGTAGACTTTATCATTATATTTGTTATACTTTCTCTTTCTCTGCTTCTTCTATACTGTAAATTTTAAATTACAGAGCCAGAACTTTATCATCATCAAAGTCCTTTTTTATAAGCAGAAGGAACCTTATAAGGGAATGAGACATAACGCAAGTCTGTTATTAAATTTTATATTTCATTCATATTTTTATTATGCCTCAATATTTCTTTCCCGCGGGCTTCAGACAGCAGGCTAGTGTTTCACCTTCTTTTAACATCTTTCTTTTCATATCGAGTACGATATCTTGTAATGACATGCTTGTGGAATGACAATCGGTTTGACTAGGTGATTTTTGGAATGTTTTCGCGTTACTGAAAATAACTGGCAGTTCCTGGACACGAGTTGTTGAAATTATCATGGTTTTAAATTTAAATTGGTAAAAACAGTCAAAATTATTTTGAATTTTCACAAAAATTATTTTATCATCTCGGAAATTTAAATTTAAAAATTCCGTAAAATTTAAATTTTAAAAAGTCGTTACATGAAAATGACTGACATATTAATAAAATTTTTGAACTAATGTCCAAGACATAATTAAGATATTTTCGGGATCTTTATACTGTGGACCGAGATGTTCTTTAAATCCTACTGGACGGATCAAATAAATGACTTATTAGTCCAGAGTAAAATGCGTCACATCCACTAGATTATAGTGC